AAGGATTGTTGCTACTAGAAGCTGGAATAGACAAAGAAATGGTCACACCCTGAATTTAGACTGCTAGTCCCTAGACCTATGAGACAATAAATTTCTGTTCTTTAAAGCCACCCACTTGTAATATATTTTTGTTACATCAGTACTAGGAAACTAAGATAACCATACATGTATCATTCTGAAATTAATTCACTTGAAGAATTTAAGGAGTTTCTGAATCTTCAAAAGAGGGAGAGGCAGCTGGGGCTAGAAAGGAAGGTCAGAGAAAGGGGAGACAAATCAGAGGAAAGTAGTATCCTCAAATCCAACATAACAGAATCTAAGTCTGATTCCAAAATCTTATCTTCTTGCCTCTACAGATATATGCCTGAATGAGATTCAGAAAGAGGGAATGGATCCCAATGTTAGATGATGAGGAAGAAAAGATCAAATAAGATCAGGACCAAACAGAGACGTTTGCATGTGCTGGTGCTGCCTTCCCAGTAGCGCTGCATTAGTGTTCTGGACAGGATTCAGACTGCAGGAGCTTAAGGAGCCGTCCATGAGCTAAGTGGAAAGAGTGATCACAAGCTACGCTTTCAGTTCCAAGAAGGGTTAGGTGAGTAAGATCAAATATTAGCTGCCCAGAATGTGAGTGGTATGAGAGAACTGCTTACTGAGCTCCTCCTATGTCATCCCATACATGTTTCCATGTAGTACATAGATGTCTACATTTTATCCTCACCACTAGGCTATGAGATAAGTGAAAGTACATCCATTTTGCTAATGAGACTCAGAGATTAACTTTCTAGTAGATAAGACTTAGAACCTCTTAGTGACCTAGTTCTACTGTAACAAGAACACCACAAGTAAGTTGTTTTAAAGAACAGAAATGTATTTTTTTACAGTTCTGGAGGCTAAACATCCAAATCAAGGTCTTGGCCACATGGATTCCTTTGTTAGCCTCTTTTCTAATTTCTGGTGCCTGTGTGTGAGCCTTGGTGTTCTTTTGCTTGTAGAGGATCCTTACAGGGCATCTGTCTTCCTCCCATGTGTATGTCTCACTGCCTGGTCTGATCTTTAAATAAGACATCACTCAGAAGTGATTAGGTTTAAGACCCATCCTATTCTGGAATGATTTTATTAAAATAATAAAAATCCCTATTTCCAAAGAGGGTCAGATTGATAGGTGCGGAGGTTAGGACTTTGAGATCACTTTTTGGAGAATACAATTTCATTTCCATAACAGAATCTAAGTCTGATTCCAAAATCTATCTTCTTACCTCTACAGATATATGCCTGGCAGACTCAAAGGTGGATTGATTGATGGTTAGTTTAAGAAGTGAATGGCTTTAGTTAGCTAAAAGGATTACATCCTTCCTGATTCTAATGTCAAGTGTCTCACTCGCTGCTGTATTTTATCCTACCAGCTTATTCCTTCTAGTACCTAGACTTCAAGTATTATTTCACGGACCCATACACGATTCTGAGGAGACAAAGAAAGCGCCAGGTAGGGTGTGAGTGTGGGTTAGTGAGTATCAAAGTGGCTTCTTTTTCATGTTTCACATCTGCAGGACAGGTTAAACATTAAGACACCTATTTCTAATTGCACATGTCTGATCTGCATCGTGAACAAAATCAGCTTGCCTGGCATGCTACCTCAAGTTTCTTTTCATTGCATTGTTTCTCTCTCCTTCCCTATAATTCCTGGGCCACTGTCTTTATGTGGGTTTGGTCAACTAGGTTCTCCACATGGCCTGAGCAGCACTGACCAGAAGCATGATGGGGTCACACAGCAACCATAGACACCCAACAGAGAGAAGAGCTGCTATTGAATTGACTCTGACTCCTAGCAACGTTATGTGCCTCAGAACAGAATGTGGCCTTGGCCTTGCATCATCTTCATAATCACCAGTTAGTGCACCTACCCACTTCACCAAGATTCTCCTTCACCCTCACTGGCCCGCTACTTCACCAAACATGATCCCTCCTGATGACATGTCCAAAGCAAGCAAGTTAGACAACATCCTGTTGTTATTCACAGGTTTTCGTTGGCTAATGTTTGGATGTGGTGCTGTAGGTCAGCACGGGACTGTGAATCCCAAGGTCAGCAGTTCAAACCCACCAGCTGCTCCTGGGAAATCCTATACAAGGTCATTGTGAGTCTGAACTGACTTGATGGCACTTAACAATGATGTTTGGATGTTGGTTGCCAGGCCTTTCTTCCAAGTCTGTCTTAATCTGGAAGCTCCACTAAAACGTTTCCACCATGGGTGGCCATGATGGTATTTGAAATACCAGTGGCATCGTTTCTAGCATCATAGCAACATGCAAGCCATCACAGTATGATAGACAGGTGGTAGACCCCTGAACAGCCTGCTCCCTTCAAAATAGAAACTTTTCAACAACAAGTGTATATCCAGCTCATTCCTCTAAATGCTGACTCTTACTATATTTTGCTTCCTTCCAAGTACTTTATTCTATTACTCCCTCTACCCCATAATATCCTAAGAGGTAAGTACAGATGAGATCATGCTCCCAGTTTCCCAGTTCAGAAAGCCAAATGCAGGCTAGTCAGGAAATTCCTCACTTTGATTGACCAAATACTGCAGTGGAAATGTATTAGCCCCTGGTCCTCAATCAGCACTATTTTCTTTCATCTTCTGCCTTCATTATTCAGATCTGAATTGTGCAAACCTTCCTGGAATTGTGGGGCTTTTGAAAGACATGGTGGGTAGAAAGTGCAAAAAGAAGGAATTGTGCTGCTGGTTTTTTTTTTTTGGTTCACTTAAGCTTCATATGGGAGTCCTGGTGTGGCGCTGTGGGTTAATGCACCAGACTGCAAAGCTGTTTGAACTGCAAGGTCGGTGGTTCAAGCTCACCAACTGCTCCTAGGAAACCCTATACAAGGTCGCTATGGGTTGGAATCAACTCGACAGCACTTAACAACAACAAGCTTCATATAACCATTTTATAATATGGAAAATGATACTTAGTAAAAAAGAAGTAATTTACCCAGGATCAGAAATTCAGGCAAATAATTAGGAAGGCTATGTGTGGAGACCACTTTTACTTGGTCTAGAAGCTGAACCTACTCCTAGGAAGTGAATGTTCCAGGTATGGATCTCCCCCCTCAGTGCCTACTGACTAAGTGGTCTTCACTCTCTAAAATCTACAAAGTTATTGGAGAAGTTAAATAAGGTGGTGGTCCTAGGTGGTGCAAATGGTTAATGTGATTGTCTAATAATCAAAAGGTTTCAAGTCTACGGAAAGGTGTCACAAAGACAAGCTTGGAGATCTGCTTCCAAAACGTCAGCCATTAAGAACCCTATGGACTCTTTGGTTGTTTGAATGGTTATATATTCCTGAGTGCTTCGGTGTAAATCCAAAAAACAAAACAAAACAGAGGGAATGGAAGCAAATGCTGTTGAATAATGATGCATGGAGGGGATTGTAATCATTACAATGAAACAAAATACAATAGGATGAATGTAAAGCTGATGCTCTCCCATGTAAACTATCACTCAACTCACAATAAAAACTTAAAAAACAAAAACCCTATGGAGTTCAGTTCTACTCTGACACACATGGGGTTACCATAAGTAAGAATCAACTCAAGACAACTCAACACCAACTGTTGTGTTGTTAAATGCCATCAAGTCGGTTCTGCTAACCTTACGGTTCAAACCAACTTTGCAGTCCAGTGCTCATTCTCCAGCACCACACCAGGACTAGAGTTGGGTTTTTCCCCCCATAGATTTGAAAGCCATTTGACAGGCAGAGCACTACAGAATGATTATTCTGCTCGAGGTATGGTGGTGGTGGTGGTTATGTACCATGGAGTCATTTCCAACTCACAGCTACCTTATACAGGGTTTCCAAGGCTGCAAATCTTTATGGGAGCAGAAAGCCTCATCTTTCTCCCGTGAAACAGCTGGTACTTTCGAATTGTTGACCTTGTGGTTCACAGTCCGATTCATAATTGCTATGCTACCAGAGCTCCTTGCTCAAGGTGTGGTCCTCTTGATTTAAGGGCATCAATAGGAAGGGAAAGAGATTCCTTCTCTCCTCAGTGGAACATCACCCAGTCACCTGAGGCTGACCTAGGATCATTTACCTAAAGCTCTAATATACACCCATTTGATTCACCTAGCAAACAGGGGGAGCATACAATCACCTGCCTCATCATCACTCTCCCTTCATTTGAAGACGCTTCACTGCTAAGTGACCCCACCTGGGGACGGCGGACTACACCATTAACAGTGCAGGAAATGTAATCCTGCTGCTCATTCGGAGACTTAAATTCTATTTCAGGTCCTAGATACAAGGAACCTACAACAGCACTCTACAGCTACAGCAGTTTCTTGCCTCTCACTAGTTGTTTGATCCTGGGAAATGAGTTCTATTTAATGAACCACAGTTTCTCATCGCTTAAAGAGGGATCCTGGGGGTTATGACTGCCCTTCTTGCTGTCCTTTATTGGTGAAATGAGATTATATTGGGAAACTGCAGAGCGTTAACACTACTTTAACAAATCCGGGTTTTAATCCCAACTGCCTCTCCTGCTAGTTGTGTGGCCTTTGGTAAATTATTTAACCTTTTTAAATCCAGGTTTCTTCCGGTGAAAAGTGGCCAGGACTGTTATGAGAATTATGCAGTATATTTCAAGGTAAAATGGATTCGTACTGGACTTCAGGACCGTTCAGTACTGAAGTACTCTGCAGAGATCCTCAGCCCAGACTTTGGGTGTTCCCGTGCATGGCTAATTATTTTATTGTAAGCCCTCATTTCTTTAGTAAAAGCACATTCTCAACTGGCAGTGAGCAAAGTGGTTTTCTCTGACTGCCCTCCTTCTCTAGGAAGGGGAGTGGGGCGAAGGGCGGGGCCTGATTTCACCAGCCCTACATAAGGACCTCCTTCGGCTCCTGCAGGCAGTTTGGAAGCAGCTGGAGGAAGAAGTTAAGTCTCAGTTACTGGCTTCTTTTTTTCCTTTTAAAGTCAAACTCACACAGCTGTTGAGTAAAATGCAGCCTCCAGAGAAAAGCCCAAGCCTCAGACCTTTCAAGCAGAGGAAGAATTTAGGTAAAGTCTTTGGGTCACCTCCCTGGGTTCTGGCCCCTGAGAGGAAAGGAGAGGACACAGACCTCTCTGAGTGGCCTAGCTATTCATTTGCATGTACATTTTCACAGCAACCAGAAGAGAGGAAGTGGCTGGAATCCGGGCAAAGTTCCCAAGCAAGATCCCGGTAAGAGTCCAGGGCATTTAACTTTCCTCGGGGCCTGCGGTCCTGTTCTTTGGAAAAACAAAAGCCTTCTCTCTGTCCCAAGTTCCTAAGATGCAGAGCAGCTTGAGCCACGTTCTTAGGCACTTGTTTCAAAAGAGTCACGCTGGCACTCTTGGCAGGTCATAGTGGAACGCTGCCTCCGTGAGAAAGTCCTGCCCCCGCTGGACAAAACCAAGTTCCTAGTTCCGCAGGAGCTGACCGTGACCCAGTTTCTCAGCCTCCTTCGGTAGGTGAAGAAGTAATGGGGTGAGGGGCGGGGGTATTGTGTGTATTTGGGCTGAATCCATTTTGTTTGTTACATTTTGTTGGGGGAAGAAATTGTTTTTGTAACTCACCTTTTCCATTCTGAAGTGTCTTAAAAAATGTTCATAGAATGAAGCTACTTTAAACCTGTGAGAAGAACCCCTCAGACAATTCTAAAAGAAGTATTAATTCCCTAAAGTTTCTAAGAATTTTCCAAAGTAGTCTTGATTCTGAAACTAGTCCAGAAAGTCCGTTCTTTCAGATACTGTTCTAAACTTGGATGTATCTGTGTGTATGTACACCTAGGGACTGAGAAACCTCTTCAAAAGGCAAATGTTCCCTATATTGCTGTCAAGTCACCCCCAAACCATGGGGGCCTCATGTGCATCGGAGTACAATTATGCTCCCTAGGGTTTTAATGACTGCTTTTTTGGAGATATATCTCTAGGCTTTTCTGACACCACACTTCTGAGTGGACCCCAACCTCCAACTTTAAAATTAGCAGCCAAGAGAGTGACCATTGGTACCACCTCCCCTCTGCTGCTTAGATCACTGAAAAGTGGGAAAAATGTTCCCCAACACACACTACTCCCTTTGGGTTGAGGCAGATGCATAGGTAGGGAAATTTGTCAAGTTTAAGAGGGTTAAGTGGTATCTATCTCCTGCCACATGGCTTCAATAAAAAATAGGAGGGAGGGTTCAAAAATTTCATGGAAAAATGGAATTAAAAGAGAATAAGGATGTAAAACTGATATTCTGCCCTGTAAACTTTCACTCAATCCACAACAAAAACCTTTAAAAAAAAAAAAGAGAGAGAGAGAGAATGAAAAATTCCCACGAACTTTTTGAAGCCCCCTTGTAATCTGGAAATAAGTAAATAAGAGTCAGTTGGTAATTCTTGGTAGTACAGTGGCTCTGTAGGATAAGCACTGGACTGAACCACAAAGTCGGCAGTTCAAACCCACCAGCCACTCCGTGGGAGAAAGATGAAGCTTTCTGCTGTCTCAATGATTTACAGACTCAGAAACCTTATACAGGGTTGCTAAGAGTAGGAACCGATTTGATGGCACCTAACAAAAACAACAGATATTTCTTAGAATTGAAAAGTCTAGAAGCTGGAGAGTAGCACAAACTATTCTTTGAGGGAGTTTACTATACATGTGTTTGTCTTCATTTTAATGATTTATTTAAGAACACTTTGATTTCCTGTCCTCGGAGAAATGTATGTTTTAAAGTTAGGCCACTGTGAATGGGAAGTGATTAAGGGAACATGAAAATCAGGCTAAGATCCCAACATGTGAGTGTGTCATTGGTGACCCCTCCACCTTCACCCTAAGAAGATAAACCAACCTTGAGTTCTGACGGCGAATCTTTTTTTTTTCCCCCTCCTCTTGGAGAATTTTTTTTTACACCACCCGTGACCTACTTCTCCACTCTACCATTGGAAGCTCCACAATATTTACTGAACATTAACTGTATTCCAGATGCTCTCCAAGCTCAAGGGATACAGCAGTAAGCAGAATAGACAAAGCCCCTGTCCACACCCTTCAAGCAACAGCCTTCACACAATGGGGACTCCAATCGGCGTAAAATAAAGACCTGGCAAAAGACAGGAATAAAGGTGCAATCTCTGGGCGTAAGAGTGATTGATTACCTACAGAACTGATTACTACACCCAAAATTCTAGCTCCACCCATTCCCACTACTATTTTTTTACCCCAAACCAGCCACATGAGTGTCAGAGCTAAAACCGCTGAGGTACTTTCATGAAGGATAATCTCTGCAAAATTAAACAGATTCTGAAATCCCCTCCACTCCTTCCCAGCTGTAGCTGTAGGATAAATACTTGCCCCAGCAGAAGTTTCAGAGCTCTGAGACTTGGAGTGGGCTGGCTCTGCGTACCCAACAAGTTATAGCAAACTACTGCCCAGTGCTGTCCTGGTATAGCACTAGACTGCTAACAGGAAGATCTGCGGTTCAAACACACCATCTGCTCCTCGGAAACCCTATACAAGGTAGCTATGATTCGGAACCAACTCACCGGCACTTGCCAACAACAAAATGTACTTAGAATGAGACTTAACACTTAGCCCACCATCGACTCCTATGAGGAATTGGAACTTTGGTTCACCTTGACATTTGAACCACATCCAGCTGAATTTTGCTATTTCTTTATCTTATTAATGTGGGAGAACAAAGGACAGATGTAGAAAGGATTCATTTTTAGGCAGCTGTTAAGTGCTGTTGAGTAGGTTCTAACTCCTAGTAACCCTGTATAGGGTTTCTGAGGAGCAGATGGTGTGGTGGATTTGAACTGCCAGTCTTGCGATTCAACCCAACCTTGCAGCCCAGTGCATTATCTTGCAGTGCTACACCAGAACCCCACTTTTAGGCAGTTGTTAAGTGCCGTCGAGTCGGTTCCAACCCATAGCAATCCTGTACTGGGTTACCGAGGCTGTAAATCTTTACAGGAGCAGAGAGCCTCATCTTTCTCCCGTGGAGTGGCTGGTAGTTTCAAACTGCTGACCATAAGGTTCGCAGCCAGATTCGTAACCACTACGCTACCAGAACTCCTTACTTTTAGGCAGTTGGTTGGTTGGTTATGTGCCGTGGAGTCGGTTCCGACTCATAGCGACCCTGTACAGGGTTTCTGAGGCTGTAAATCTTTATGGGAGCAGAAAGCCTCATCTTTCTCCGAACAGCTGGTAGTTTCGACCTGCTGACCTTGCGGTTCGCAGCCCGATTTGTAACCACTACGCTATCAGATGTCATTCAAGGCTGTTGAACTGTGTGGTATATATGGTTCATCATCTTTGTCCTAATAAGAAAATTCTTTGATTTCATAGCAAAACTAGTAACCAGTTGTGCTGAATCTATTCTGATTCGTGATGCCTCTTAATGTTTCAGAATAGAACTGTACTCCATAGGGTTTTCATGGTTGTGACCTTTCAGACGTAGATCACCAGACTGTTTCCAAGGCACCTTGGATGGGTTCACTTAATTGTTTGCACCACTCAGTGACTCCAGTTTCATAGCAAGCAGTGCCATTACTTAGCATGCTTGTGTTCATATCTCCTAATGCATGATGGGATATCCTCACTCTCTGGTCATTTTGGGTGGCGCTGTAGGATAAGTACTCGACAGCAAGGTCAGTTTGAACCACCAGGTCAGCAATTCAAACTCACCAACTGCTCTTCAGAAAACCCTATACAGTGTCACTATGGTTCAGAACTGACTCGACAGCACTTAACAGCAACACAGTATACTAGGGAATCCTGGTGTGGCTCTGCAAGATAATGCACTGGATCGCAAGGTCAGTTTGAACCTCAAGATCAGCGGTTCAAACCCACCAGCTGCTCCTCAGAAACCCTAAAAAGGGTCGTTATGAGTTGGGACTGACTCAGTGACACTTAACATTAACAACACAATGTACTAGAACCCTGTCGTGGCACCACAGGATGAGCACTGGACTGCTAACCACAAGGTCTGCAGTTCAAACCCACCAGCCACTCTTGGAAAACCTATACAGGGTTGCTGTGAGTTGGAACCAACTTGATGGCACACAACACCAACAGAATCTTAGGAGTCCTGGTGTGGTGCTGTAGGATAGTTCAAATCTACCAGCTGATCCTTGGAAACCCTACACAGGGTTGCTATGAGTCAGAACCGACTCAACAACATTTGACAACAACAACAGGATTTTACATCTCCAGGGAAGGAATATGGAGCCAATCAGACATCTTGAGCCTCACAACCCTGAAGATTGCTGGGCGGTCTTCTGAATCAGCATCTCTTGGGGTGGTGCCTAGGAATCTGCATTTTCAACAAGCACTTCTAGATAATTCTAGTGCACATGGAAGTTTGAAGACAATTCTCTGTACATTTTATGAGATAGACCATCTCATCAGTAGGGGAAAAGGTGTACAAGCTTTAGGTGAGGGTCTTATTCCCTGCCAGATAAACATCTTTTCTTTCTGAAATCTTACCCCCAAATCCAGAAGCCGCATGATGCTGAGGTCCACTGAAGCCTTTTACCTGCTGGTGAACAATAAGAGCCTGACCAGCTTGAGCCTGACCATGGCGGAGGTCTACAGGGACTACAAGGATGAGGATGGCTTCGTGTACATGACCTATGCTTCCCAGGAGATGTTTGGCTGCTGTGGGTCAGCAGACCCTAGCAATGGGAGCAGCCTCAGAGATGGAGCCTACAGCTTGTATCATCACCATGAACCTTGTCTTTGAATTAATGATCAGCCACTCGTATATACAATGCTAACAAGAATACCCTGGGACAATCAGCACCTCCAAAGTCAGTGAGGACCTGGTCCTTCCTGTTTATTCTTTGAGCTCCATATTCTTCTGTCCATTCTCTAGGAAATGTTCTTAGTTTTGTCAATAATAACTCTTTTTCTGAATAAGAGATGGTTAATGTATTGATGATTTTATCTAATGAGCTAGTGTCATATTTTAAGTATATTTTCTAACACACATAGGATCACCATAAGTTGGATTGTTAAGGTCTGAAGAGTTTTAGAAACGGGTTTTTAGAGTGGATGGAGATGAGCCTGTGGTGGGGCCAGGTCTGTAGGACCTTATGAATTGTGTTAAGGTGTTTGGGTTTTATTTCAAAGGCTTGGGGAAGAGAAAGGGAAAACATTCTAATGGGAAAGAAAGAGAACATTTGTTGAAGAAACTAAGACTCAGAGAAGTTACAATCTTCCTAAGGCCCCTAGTAGGGCTGGTCTAGCATGTACCCTCACTCAGCTCATTGTTTGGGGGTCTGCTGACCCTGTTCCTGGCTGCTTTTCATTCCTGCCAGGCATCCAACCTGCTCTTTCCTGTGCAGCTGTGTGGTTGTCCTTCCCCTTCCTGGCTAGCCAGCACCAGTCAGTTCCTCTATCACTCATCCTTTGAGTCATCTTTGCCATATACCTAGTAAAGACATTTTCACCCAGATTTGTTCTCTAGACATATCCTTGTTGCATAACCTGACCAAGGAATACTCTTCCCATGTAAAGCTACTCCCTGGTATTGATTTTGAATTGATCGTCCTTGAGCATTCACCTGGACACTTACTAGTCCTCCAACTCTCAACCTTCTTCACATCTTTAGTCTTCCTTGAATTGCAGTATCAAAGATTGTACATCATTCTACAGGTACAGAGATCACCTGCATTTGTAACTGAATGAGGATTGTGTTGTACTTGGTCACTGTAATGGTTAGGGTTTTGTATCAGTTAGACTAGGATTTCCAGAGGTTTAGCAGTTGGGAGGTGCTTATTCCCATGATAATAAAACCTAATACAGGCAGTTAGCTCTAGGATAAATGGCTATGAGCAGCCGATCCACTGAAGGTATGTTTCCTTGGGGTGTGGCCTGCTCCCAATATAATGAACACATGGGAAAGGCTCTCTTTCTCTCTTCTACTGGTATGTAGGACTCTACAATTGTAAACCATTTCCTTGATAATAAACTATATCTATATTCCTGGTATAAGGAGTTCTGGTAGCGTAGTGGTTACGAATCGGGCTGCGAACCTTAAGGTCAGCGGTTCGAAACTACCAGCCGCTCCGCGGGAGAAAGATGAGGCTTTCTACTCCCGTAAAGATTTACATCCTTGGAAACCCTGTACAGGGTCGCTATGGGTCGGACCCGACTCGACGGCACTTAACTACTACTACTATATTCCTGGTATGGTGCTGTGGGCTAATGCATCAGACAGCAAAGTCGTTTGAACTGCAAGGTCAGTGGTTCAAGCTCACCAGCTGCTCCTTGGAAACCCTATACAGGGTTGCTATGGTTCAGAATCAACTTGACAGCACTTAACAACAACAACATATATATACATATACATGTTTCACTGATTTTGTTTCTCTAGAAAACCTGGACTAAGACAGTCACCAAGATCCTTCTTGATGTAACTTCCCCTCATATGTTAACCAATCTGGTCACAATGGAATGTGTCAGCCATCATGTTTATGACAAGCTAGCCAAAACATAGTGATGTAAAACAAACACCATTTTACTATGCTCATGAATTCCATGGGTCAGGAGCTAGGAAAGTACATAGTGACAACAGCTTGTCACTGCTCCATAAATCTGGGAACTCAGCTGGTAGTGATTTAAACATCTGGGGTGAGAACGTCTGGAGGGTTCTTTGTTCACATGTCTGGCCCTAAGTTGGATGACTCAGGCTGGGCTCAGCTGTGGCTAGAGACAAGCATGGATCCAAGAGGTCCATTCACAGTGAGACAGCAGGGAACGTCCGTCCAAAAAACAGCTGGAGAGCCCATGATTCAAGAGACCAAGACAGAAACTGACCTGTCCATCAGTGATGCATTTAATGGTTTTTAGTCTGGATTTCTTTACCTTTTTTAAATTTTAACATCTATTCAGGTACTTAAATTATTGTGTTGATTTTTAAGAAATCACATAATTATATAGTAAACTCTTTATGTATCATGTATATTAAAAATAATTACCAGTCCCTTTTGATCTTGTTTATGGTCAGTTTTTCCCATGTATATATTTTTCATTTTTATGGGATTTTCTTTTTCTTCTGGCTTCAAAGGTTGATGTTCTGATTAGAAAGTCTCTCTCAACTCTAGATTATAAAAATATAGCCCCATCTTGTGATGTTTTCTAGTACTGTGGTTTTGTGTTTTTACACTTTAGAATGTGAACCAACTTGAATTTACTTTAATCAAAAAGTGAATTAACTGAGAAGCAGTGACACCAGAGGCAGAGAGGTGATGACGTGAACAGATGGAATGGCTGGGGACACTAGACTCAAGGAGGGAGAGGGGCTGTGTGCTGACGGCCCAGGGGCAGGCCTGTGGGTGGTTGTTTGATGATACATGGAGGGGATTGTAATCATTGCAATGAAACGAAATACGATGGGATGAATGTAAAACTGATATTCTCCCATGTAAACCCACATAATTCACAATAAAAACTTTAAATAAAAAAAAGTGAATTAAGTATCTAGGTTCCATTTTCTCCAAATGCCTAACCAGTAGATAAAATGTATTTATGGGATAATCTTTCTGTTGGCGCTTGAATTTGCTGTGATTATATGTCTGTGTCTTATAATAACTCAAAACGTTCCTTAAGAACATGGACCGTGACTTTTCTTTTTTGTGTTTCTCATGATGCCCACCTAAGCACATTCATCTGTTAACTTGTCATACTATAGTGGCTTTTGCATTGCTGTGTGAAATATGCCACTGGTATTTCAAATACAAGCAGGATCACCAATGGTGGATAAGTGGACTAAAACTAAGAAGGAAAACCTAGCAACCCACTTCTGAAAAACTTGGTCACTGAAAACCTTGTGAATAGCAATGGAACATTGTCTGATGCAGTGTCTGAAGATGAGCCCCTCAGTGGGAAACCACACAAAATGCAACCTCCTCAAAGCAGAGTCCACCTTACTGAACTTACTGGAGCAAAGCTTTTAGGATCATCATTTACTAAAGCTCAAAATTATTAGAAGCAAGTGCAAATATCCATTAATAATCAAATGTAGAATATACTAAGTATGAATCTAGGAAAACTAGAAGTCAAATATGAAAGTAATGCATAAAGATTGTTATCTAGAAATTAATGAGTTGAAATGTACTGATACTGGCTATTTTGATTGATTGCTTTGCTGGATAAAGGATTCTTGGTTGGCATTTTTTGTCTTTCAGGGTTTTATGTATGTGTCCCCATTGCCTTCTTGCATGGTTTCTGCTGAGAGATCCGAGCTTAATCTGACTTGCTTGCCTTTGTATGTGACACTTCTGTTTTCCCTGGCTGCTTTCAGAAGTGTCTCCTTATCTTTGAGCTTGGAGAGCTTGACTATGATATGTCTTGGTGATTTTCTTTTGGGGTCTACCCTTCCTGGAGTTTGTTGAGCTTCTTGAATGTTTATCTTTTCACTCTTCAGGATGTTAGAGAAATTTTCTTCAAGCAGTTCTTCAACTATTTCCTCTATGGACTTGAGTGATTCTTCTTGTTTTGGGATGCCGATAATTCTTAAGCTATTCCTCTTCATGTTGTCCAACATGAATCTTAGACCTTCCCCTGAATTTTTTATCCTTTTTTGTGTTTGTTCTTCTATCTTAGTGATATTGAGAGATTTGTCTTCCAGCTCACTGGTTCTGCCTTCCGTCTCATCTATTCTACTCCTCTGCCCTTTCAGAGTGTTCTCTAATTCTGTTATTTTGTTAGTGATTGTTTGGACCTCTTTCTGTAGGATTTGAATTGTTTCCAATGCTGTATCTATCTTATTTGATTGTTCCTGTAGCACTTTCCTG